CATCGAAGCTGATGGTGGGACATAGTTTTAGCCCTCAAATACTTGCATGCAGTACAATATAGAAACAACAATAGTGATAATATACTTACTCCCAGTAATCCATGTTGTGTCAAAAATAATGCACCTCAAACAGACACTAGTGAACACTCAACCTTGGGCAGTTGGCGCGAACAATATACGACATTAGCACTGGTGATTCTTTCCAATTGTAACACCGGTGGCGGCGACTATGTAACTTTTCGCGAAACTTTTGAAAATAATTAAAATGTTAGTGTCCTTTTAAAAGGACAGTAGCAGCAAATGGGTTAAGTAAAGTCATATGAGAGTACTTTTTTCGTTTCATGAACCACTGTTTTGACCATAGTCTCTTTTTTTCGTATCTTCAAATAAAACCTCCTCCTCCAATTACCTATTGTAAATTTCTCCTTATGATCCAGACCAATTACCACAGCACTCAAAAGAACACAACCCAGGGCTAGTACTATAGAACTGAAATAGCGACAGAACGCCGCCTGCTCGTCTATTGAGATTTGTCCGTGATCTGTGTACAGCCATATCCGCCTGTGTGTAGCTCAACACGGATCTGTTCGCCGTACATATCCGCATGTGAATGGGGCCCTTAATGGTTAGATCTAGAAGATCCTGTAGTGGTATCTTCGCTTCACTCTCCGTAACAATAATGTTTGTAGGGTAACAATGATTTTTAGCGTCACGTATGGAATTATAACTGGGATATATGTTAGCTTGTCGTTTTTTCGCCCCTCTTTGAATCCTTAGGTAGTCTTCCTTGCTTAAGCCACAGTCTAGAAGTAGTGCTAAACCTTCTTCTGGACTGTAGGTAACAAAAGACGATGACTCGATCCATGCACCTCTTTCATTTTTTTTAATCTGCGAGGAGTAGTAGTTAAAGCTAACTTAACTACTTGCGCTGCTATTCGTTGCCCACTCTTCACTAAAGATGTTTCTGTGGCACACTCCAGTTTTTCTATGGAAATCTCTGAAGCTAATGATTTAATTTTTCTTTGCTTCGACCGCGCAGAACTCTCGATGAATAATTTTTCAGGCCTACCTCGTTTCTGTACGGAATTTGTCAGTTGCATAAGGGGTGATGCGACAGCATCTGCCTGCAGTGGTGGTAGTTGGATACTGCCAGCTAACCAATGAGAATATCTCTTTATGAACCTATGCTGCATACTTTTACATGATCTCCATTTTTTAAATAAATTTGTCACGAAAACTTTTACCTTATTTTTCAATTGAGTTTCACAGTTTGTAGAAACTTCCTCTCGGTTAAGTAAAGCTTAAATAATTTAAATATGTAGTCATCTTAATAGTTTTAATACTTTTATAAGTTTATTTTTTTCCCCCGTTCTTTTGAAATGTGTAAGTACCTTTTAGATAAGTTATTTTTAAATCTAAAACTTTGTTCATTTTTAAGTTAATTCAACTTTCAACCTTTAATGTAAAATTCAACCCTCCGGTTGGTTGTCTTAACAAGGCTTGATAAAAATTCGTCTTGAAACTTAGGACAACCTTTCCGTTTTAACCACCCTTCAGGTTTTTCACTTGGCTTCGGCCAGTTAATAATTAAAAAAACAACATGTTCGTCTTTTTCGTCTTCAACGTTTGTAATTTACCGTTTTCCTGTTAACTTTCACAGTAAGTACTAGCTCTTAATGTTTTCAAATTTGCTATATTGTGATACACTTCTAGTCGCCTGATGATGGCAGTACGCCGAAACTATAGTCGCTGTTATTTTTAAAAACTTCAACGAATAAAACTATATGGGGAAGGTTTAGAGATTTTTGATAACATAATATATTTCAACCCCCATTTCGAGGAACGATGGATCCAACTCAAAAAAAAAAAAATGAAAAAATATTATTAAGTTGGAATTGATTGGCGATCACCGATACTGCTCTTGATGAAGGAAAAAGCCAAGAGGTCAAACAACCTTAATGAATGCTACGTTGCATTTTGTTATCTATTCCAGAGAACATGCGCTGTCTCTCTCATTCCCACGACTTCTGGTAATAATACGTAATAAAAATGGCAGCCGTTAGTTAATTGCATCGCGAGCGTTAACATGGCAAGTTCAAGTAAAATGCCCAAGCTGTCCTTATCAATGAAAAAGAAACCAGTGCCGTCCACAAGTAATAATAATAATGGGAAAGCTAAAGTTCGTAGCGCAGTGCCGTCCACAAGTGGGAAAGCTAAAGTTCTTAGCGACATTAGGATTGCACCACCAAAACCACCACCTAGGTGTGCAGTGCAGTGTAAACATTCAACGCATCCACCACCGCCGCTAATACCTATCGCGAGTGCGCCATCCCTTCCGCTCCTAGAGGACCAATATTCGGTCATCACGATCAACTCAGACGATGAGTCTGGGGGTCGAACAGCACAAATACGGTAAATATTTTCTTTTGATGTTTCAACAACCACCGTGTGAACTAAAATTTCAAGATTATAGTACGGAGCCGACTGTCGATTCGCAGCTTGCGGATCTGTTAGATGCAATTGAGGGTAGAGGGCCATCATGCACCCAAAATCGGTAAATATATTACTTAAAAATACAATTCATATAATGAGAGAGAACATGATTATGAATGATCATTTTTTTGTTTTTTTACAGAATTTACCCACCATTAATAAGATCGCCGTCGCCGGCTCCTCCACTTCCGCCAGCTGGAGATAATTTATTGAAATGTTTGTTAAATCGCTAATGCCATACCTCTCTTTTCTTGTGTGTAGTACCACCACAACTATGGCAATGCTTCCAAGGGCTGGCAAAAACATGGAGCAAGCGCTTCAGATTTATGGATTTGGTGGAGGAGACCCATGCGGCGGCGCAGGTAACTGGAATGGGAGCCCATCAACGCCCAAACAGGTTGCGGAGGCGACGTATGCGAGCCTCCTTAAGATGGCTCCCGAATATGAAAGGAAGCTGCTTGACGCGCAGGCTAAGGTGTCCAAATTGGTCCTCGACCTAGAAGAAGCGCGGGAGGAAGAACGCTCAATAGGTCAAGACGTAAAATATCTTAACAATTTTATGTCATTTTTGACGCAAAATTTGTAAATAAATGTAAAAAAAAATAACTGAATCGTAATTATTGACATCAAACCAACACACAATTGCCCAATAGCTTGAAAACGTCGTTGCTCTTTAAAATTCAAATTTTCGTAGTTTCTTTTATAAAAAAAATATTTTTGGGATGGAATTCGGAAAGTGTATGTCGTCTACCATCGAATGATATAAACAAATAGTGTAATATTTGGACGAATTTCCTCCAAAAGGAGTAATTACAGTTGTTTGTACGCGCTTTCGTGTATTTTGGGAAAAAGAAGTAAATAATTCCGGTACAAAAATGAGTGTCGCTTTCATATAGGTACGTACATATTTTGTGCTAATTGATAAATTGGGAAATGGATTATTACGTTTATTAAAGTGTAAGTACATAATTTTTCCCAATTTGCAGGTGATAGTTCTATACTTAGAATCGCGCGCTCGTAATTGCAGGTGCTGTTCAGTAACCTCTTAACGACCTGCAATAGCAGCAGAGAGCAATACCCTTTTAGACATCACGTCGTTTGAGCGATGGCCAGACACTCCTGCTCACTGTATTCACCATTGCCATATTGCTTCATGTTCTGCGTCAAATACTAACGCCGAAAACTTTTGCTTAAGCCGTTCTACCGCTGTTACAAAATCTCTCGCCTTGATCCACGATTGCTCAGCATACGCTAGCCATGCCATGATTATTTGATATACACGACGAGCGGGCTATATAATCACTGCGCCCCATTATGCAATTAGCGGAGATCAAAACCATTAAGCTAAAGGGTTTAAGAACAGACGACGAGGTCAATAACCTTTTATCAAAAGGTCAGTGTCTTAAAGGTGAACGACCTTTAAATAGAAAAGGCCATTCTCCCCGGACAATAAGGTTAATGACCCATCTACCTTTAACGCTCAATGACCTTCACAGCTCAAGGTCATATTTAGAATCGGCCCTACCTTACTACTCAAAACCTTTAAGGGCTGGATCGAAATCGCAATCCCAGATACAATAAAAAAAAGTCAAAAATCAACAAATTTCAACCATTATTAAGATTGCCTTTTATCGAGAATAAAAATATTTGGCCAGCTTTTTCATTGAGATATCTACAACAGTTGGAAATATAGCTCATTTTTTTAACTTTATGACTTTGTTTAATGAAGAATGTAAGCAAAATTTTGTATCTGGATACCATTTGTAATTACACAGCTATTAGTGAACCGAAATTCACCTAAAAATTTAATTTCGATCAAATTTTGCCGCTTAAGATGATTTGTCAGCAATATTTTTTGGATTTTTGTCGTATACTTTATCGTATACGACAAAAATCCAAAAAAATATTACTTAAACCAGAGTTACCTACAGTATTGGAGGATATTTCATAGACATTGAAACTTTCAGGACTAGACAAGGAAAAATCTGAATCCCTTCCTCTAACATTTCCTTAGAGATGTATTCGTTTGTGGGAATTCTTTATGCTTATTCCCAACGTTGAATCTCGATTATAAACTAAGAATTAACTATTGTAAATGTTGACAAATTTTTATTGATTGATTGATCTTTTCTATTATTCTCGTCGTCATAATCACCCTTTTACCCTCAACGACGACCTCCCGTTTTTTATTGATTCCATCTTCAGCTTCGCATTGTTCACTTCAGCTTAAATACAGTCCATTGAAATAAAATCTTTAATCATAAAAGAGTAATTTATTTAACAAGATTTCCAAATTAATTCTTTGCCCTTCGAGCCGGATGTAAATTCACCATACCACTACCGGTCGCCGTATTTTCCATACCGTACCGTTAGAATTCAGAAATCGCAGCGTGTGAAAGAAAATCACTCGAAAGGCTGCCTTCATGTATAATTATATTCCTTGTAACGGGACACATATAACCCTGGCAAACCTACACCGTGTACACAACACTTCTTAACCATGCGCCCCTAGCAGTTCACCAACATCGACATAGCGCAAACCGCAACCCTCGCATGCAGCATCAAAATGGAATGTATCCTGAATCCTTTCACGCTGATGGCAATCAACGCTAGTGCTTTGTAAACGCCTCGCTAGAATAAGGCTACGGGAACGTTACACAGTGCGTGTTTACGTTGATATTCGTTTACTATGTGTTTGTGCGAATATGTGAAGTACTCCCAAAGACCAGTACTTGTTTATCGGACAGACATTCAATGGATTTAGTGTGTATACAGTGCGTTTATCTTATACTGGAACTTACGATTTTACATACACTGTTATTTCCCTAAGTTCCATTTAAAAAAAAACGCGTCAACCTAATAGGAGTAGTTCAAATGGGTATTAGCACCAATGTACGATCACCGACAAAATAGCTATTTGTGTATTAAGAGCGCAAAATGATATATTGTCGATTGAAAGAAACAGTTGACGGCAATCTCTTGAAATCGACAATCAATTTGCGCTCGAATTACACACAAGATTTTTTCTACAATCCAGCAGTTCACATATTTTCAGAAATTAAAATTTTTCACTTATAATTGCACAAGAGGTTTGTATTTTACTGAGTAAATTTGGGTTGTTTAGGTAATGAAAATCTGTTGCCAAGTAATTAGACGAAAAAAACTGTCAACTAATAAAAATGCGACACCGAAGGTGGAGCATTTTTAGGTTGACAGTTTTTCGAGTTCAATTGCTAAAAGGCAACAGATTTGAATTGCAACAACACAAATTTACTCGGTTTAAATACAAACCTCGAGTGTAATTCGGCAGGACAATTTCACGAACAAGAAATTCACCAAACTAATCAATTATTGACAGACGTCATACTAGTCATATGGGAAAGGATAATGCGATATTTGGTTCGAAAATGAATAAGTGAAAAAACCACTAGTGCATTTGTCGCTGGAAAAGTTGCAGGTAACTTTTGCCGCTGTCAAAGTGACAATTGCACTGCGGCTTATGCGATTTTTTATACATGAGTTGAATTGTCACTCAAATAATTTTAATCTTATGCCCAAATGAAAGATGTCATTTACTCGTTGTCATTGGATACTCTGAGCAATGCATATTTGATTTATAATTAATAATTGGGAGAGCGAGCGTTTTTTTCTATTTTGTCGCGACAAAGTGACATTCCTCGAAAAAGATTACGTTTGCGTTGTCAAATACGAGCGCAAATGCCTACTTTGGATATCGATTGTAGAAAAATAAAATTATAAATTTATACAAAGATCACAATAGTGCAAGACAAAGTCCGCGATTGACTTGCAGTTCAGTATCCTGATGAACACCTTCCATTTCAACGTACATAATCTAAAAATAATTAAAGGCTGGTTCATTTCTGACTCGCACATTATCCAATACGTGTGTATAGTTGTCAACCGCACATATCCTTATAGGTTGATGCGTTTTTTTTTAATGGAACAGAGAAACACCATTGCGTGCAAAATCGCATGGGACATCGTCACATCATGGGAGGACGCCGTCACTTTGCTCAAGGAAAACTTCGGCCCTACCGTCCCTGCCCACAGACTCCTTCGAAAATTTTTCGCTAGGGAGTAGGGGGAGAAGGAGCCAACAGAACTCTTCATCAGCGAGAAACGCGCCCTAATCGCGAAGATCCCTCAGGATCAACGACCACCTGGAACGTTCCAAGTAAGCATGGTATACGGCGTACTCCACCACCGTATTGGGGAGGCAGTACCACGCACAAAGGTAACAAAAGAGATCAGGAGGATGGAGGAATGCATCCGGATAGAGCCCGATGGTTCCAAACCCACCCTCGATAAGCGAAAGCCTCGCTGCACCTTTTGCCAATTCCCAGGCCACACCCGAGACGAGTGCCGTAAGCGGAAACCCCAAAGCCCATCCTAGAGGTGGAAATCGAACACACGCGCGGTACTGCATACCTAGATACTGGAGCACGACAGTCTAGCAGGGGTATCGTTATATACTGTCCTCCTCCAATTGGAGTTACAGTGTCGTTAGTGAACCCCGAAAAGTATATCCACTTGCGAGCGAACCCAGTCACCCGTTCTGCCTCGCCCTACCCCTTGTGCCTATGGAAGTGTCCGTCCCGTACGAGAACGCCGCCACACTAATAGAACACGACCCTCGCTGGAAGGCCGCCAAACTAACACATTTATTCGGCCCAGACCACGCCGCCTCGCATCGAGAGCCCAGGTCACCCTCACCCGTCGCACCCCAGAGTTCTCACTCCTCTACGCCGACCTAGAGGAGCAGATGATACGAAATCTATTTCCACACGCCTCTAAGAAAAAAAGGGACCGCGCCAACTGTATGCCCCGTATAGACATCGCTGCTTGGGACCTGCATCAAGGTCAAGTGTCATATTTCATTTTCAACGACTTGGGAGTGTTTGTTACTAATCGTTAACGTTGAAGTGATGTAATAATAACAGTGTAACGCATGAGTGCTAGAGGAAGACTGGTTTATTTGTTGCGTGGTACACTGGTACTGCATTACATGTATACATGTCAGGTTGCCTATATTACATCACACTGAGTAGTTTCTTCCTTTTTCGTTAATTCTGTAGGCTGCAGGTATGTTGTAAACCTTTGCTTCCAGAACTTCCAATTTTCAGAAAGATCTCCGGACATCACCATAAGTGGGATGCCTCGAAAGTCCATTTTATCCTTTAAATTATTATCCTCTACTGCTTTCGTATCTTATATACGTATTTTTAACAATATATCAGCCTATTAACAATTATTGTTAAATTACTCTTGCACGCTTCTATTTGTAGGTTACTAGGGTAGTTCAAAGCCTCAGTAGGTGTAACTTAAGTGATTCTAACCTCTCATTCGTGTTCCCAAATTAAATTAGAACCTTTGATACTGTCAAACGTCATAATTACATAAATAATAATGGAGGATATTGATATTTTGTTAATTAATGAAATGGAAATTGTTAATAACATAGAACGGCGACCATATAACACTATCAATAGATTTCATCATACTGATAATTTTCATAGTTGGGATGATACGAGAGAATATACAGGCGCGTACGAACAGGTAAGACAAAATAAATTAACACTTTTGGACGCAGTTGGAAAGAGCTAGACGTAGATTGATTGATGTACTATTCCTACTTCAATTACCTATCCGTAGTACCGTAAAATGGGGCTAAGTGAATCAAAAAATGAGGTTTTTTTGAAAAAACTTTGAAATTAACGGGGAAAAAAATCTATAAAAATTAACTAAGATTCTTTGATCCCTTGCAAAATGTTAATCGTATAAACAAATGTCCGTTGATCAATGGGCACCCGAGTTTTTTTTTCCAAAATGTGATTCACTTTACCCACCACGATGGGGTAAAGTGAATATAGTGCAAATACATGGGTTTTAAGCATTTTTATCGTTTCTAGGGTAAAATGAATAATTAAAAGTTTTTAAAAAAGAAGTATTACAAAACTGATGCTGATGATGAATCAGTAACTGACGTGCAGGACCTACGCTCGCTGCAAGACGCGGTATTATTTACATTTTCATGAGTACGTTTTCAACGGTTCGATAATGAAAGCTGCATGACCCCCCGAAGGTCGTAATAGAGAGACTCGAATTCTGCTCGCATTGCAAAATCGGGCTCCGGGAGATTAGATAAAAGTTTCAATATCGTATTGAATTTCATCAAAGTCGCTTAGCCATGCACTAGAAATGTCCCGCCGTTCTGCAAGCTCCTTAATTTTTCTCGCAGGTATTTCGAGGCCGGAGTCAACAAGCTTGCGTAAAGAATCAACAAATTGTATGAAAAGAGTTTTGCTTTTGAAATGAAAGGTACTTACATGGAAACCGCCATTACTTTCTTGCCTTAGAGAGTTCTACATCTAAGTCGAAGGACAAATATTTTGGAATTAACAGGCAATGCTGATACAACACATTTTATTGTTAATTTTAATGCAGATGAAAACATTGGAAACAGAAAGTGGCCTGAAAATGATTGGTTCATGCGCGCGCAACACGCTAAAATAGTCCATATAAATAATTCAAAACGCAGGAAAAGCATCAAAAATTGTATTAGCAACTATATATTTGCACAATTTTTTATACAAACGCTTCACTTCACGGCAAATATATACGCCACCTGGAACTTTTGATACTGACAAGAATGGGCAATTTTTAGCAGGTTGATTGAGAAATAATGAGGAGAGAACATAAGTTCCCCCCACTACGTTTTCTTCTACTCGTTGCGTTAATATACGCGTGTGAACAGACACGGACCAATTTAGTACCGATAGTAGCAGATTAGGCAAAGTGCGTATGCAAAAATTGAAGGGACAATGGGAATCCCCGGATTTGGACAAAAGGAAATCATACAAAAAATTAAAAATATTCGTTCAACTTATTCTCAGGAACTTAAGAAAATTAAACTCCAAGAAATCAGGTGACGGAGCAACCGAACTTTATACGCCATCATTGAAATGGTTTATTATTCTAGACAATGCTTTGAAACTTGTGGCGGAGTGTACAAGAAATACGCAGACAAACTTGGTAAGCTATTTTATTCATAATTATTTCGATAACAAAGACGTATATAGTGAATCATTTTGGATTGCCATGGTACAGCTCCTACATCTAAAAAGTATTGAATAAAATCTCGGAATTCTATGGCGGCTTGTGAGGAATAATTTCCAGAATTTCTTGCTAGGGCTTGCATTCCTTTAGAATGCAATTGTCTCCAGCTTCCTTCAATTTATCATTCCACGAGATGTGTCTTCCACATCAACAGATCCACTCGGTAAATGGTTACTGCCTTCTGTAATTCTGATCCAGTTATGCAGAACACAACAGGCTTTTACGATTTTGTCAACTTTATCTGGACTAAAGGGTATGGGTTTTTCAAATACTCGAAATTTACTTGCCAGGATGCCGAATGCATTTTCTACAATTCTTCTCGCTCGCGATAAGCGATAATTAAAGATTTTCTGACCTGTTGTTAAACGTTAAACGGCTTGCGTAGGTAAGGTTTCAAAGGAAACGAGCCATGCCCTACTATAAATGTGCCACTTGGAAGGCAATCCATTTTCTAATTTATTATAAATAACGCTGTTGCGAAAAACTCCACCATCAGAAATCCTACCAGTAGTAGGAGAAGGTGGGGCAAAACCGCATAGGCGGGTCAAACCGCATACCGGCAAAAATAACACAAACAGTTAGTGCCCTCTATTGTAACGATGGCGATACTGATTAATATGATAAGTGTAGCAGGTACTGTAAATTTGGTGCTCAAAACTGCCTATATTACCGACTAAACCCTTGTTGTCAATTTGAAACAGCATCGCTGTAAAAAAAACGCTGCTCTTTAAAAGTGAAAATTAGAGTGTTAAAGGCTTGTAAATCTGGTAAGTTATTTTCAGTGTATTTATATGCAAGTACCTAATTACTTCCCACAATTGTATGCTGTTTGGCTAATCCGTTTTTTTAATATTTTGCCATGATTCATTATTAGGGTTACGGGGCAAAACCGCATACAACAGTGTGGGGCAAATTCGCATGTATATGCGGTGTTGCCCCATCGGTATTTTTATATACATTTTTTGTTTGTCTCTGTTTAGACATGGTGTGTGCTTACAAACATAAGAGTAACCGTCGCGAGTGGTTAGAGGACAACATGAAAAACGCTATTGAGGCTTGCCTCAATAATAACTTTGGATATTTGAGAGCTTCACGAGAATTTAATGTTCCAAGAAGCACATTAAGAGATAAAGTGAAGATAGCAAGAAGAACAGGAAACGACGCAGCTCAACTAGCAGAAAAAAGACTAGGACGCTTTAAAACTGTTTTCTCAAAGGAACAGGAAGATCAACTTGTCTCATACGTGTTAGAAATGGAGACGAAACTTTTTGGTTTGTCTATAACAGAATTGCGAAAAATTGCTTATCAACTTGCACAAATGAATCAAGTCCCCCATAATTTTAATAATAATACTCACGAAGCCGGGAAGGACTGGGTTAGGGGGTTTTTGAAGCGGCACCCTCAACTTTCTATTCGTTCGCCAGAACCAACGTCAGCGGCCAGAGCCATGGATTTCAATAGAACCTCAGTACAAAAGTTCTTTGAATGTCTAATTAACGTGTACGACCGCTACAAATTTCCTGCTGGAAGAATTTTTAATTGTGACGAAACGGGGCTAACAACGGTTGGAAAAAAGAGCCACTCAAAAATTATTGCAAAACGAGGACGAAGGCAAGTTGGGGCAATATCTTCTGCTGAGCGTGGCCAGCTCATAACAGCTGAGCTTTGCTTTTCTGCTGCTGGCAATTACGTTCCTCCACTTTTGATCTTCCCAAGACAACGAATGAAGCCGGAACTTCTGGACGGTGCACCACCGGGGACAATTGCCGCATGTCACTCCAGTGGGTGGATGCAAAGCGAAATTTTTGTGCAATGGCTAAGACATTTCATTAATCACACTAAACCGACGGAAAACGATCCAGTACTTTTGCTCCTTGATGGCCACGCAAGCCATACGAAAAATCTGGAAGCAATAAAGCTGGCCCGCGAGAGTCACGTAGTTCTTCTTTGTTTCCCACCCCATTGCAGCCACCGCATGCAGCCTTTAGATGTGGGTTTCATGGCTCCCTTAAGCGTCTACTATGGCCAGGTAGGTAGTGACTGATACGATTATTTTCTTTCCTGTTTATTGAGTTCTTTCTCTTTCTCGATCACAGGCAATTAAAGTATGGTTAAGAACAAATCCAGGGCGCGTTGTCACTCAATTTCAAATAGCGAAATTGTTTGGAACCGCCTTTACTAAAGCCGCTTCTATGGAAACAGCTATGCATGCGTTTTCAAAACCCGGAATTTGGCCCCTAAACCCAAATGTGTTTACCGATATCGACTTCGCTCCGTCAGACGTTACTGAACGTCCTACAGATGCAGAGATTTCTGAAATAGAGCAGCACATTATGAATGATCGTCAAACTCCACCACCACAGCAGCCTGCTGATACCGAAAACAACACGTCCTTGCATGGCAATCTAGCATCGTCAGAAGACGCTGCACTTCCAGGATGTTCCAATAGTTTCACGGTAGGGCCAGAAGTTGTTTGCCCTATTCCAAAGGGAGTTAGAAATAAAGCTACAAGGCAAAGAGGAAAAGCGGCAATATTGACATCTACCCCATATAAAGACGACTTGGAAGAGCAAATCAATAATTCTAGGACGAAGCAGGTCAAACGGAAACTTGTTCCATCAGGGCCTTCAAAAATAACAAAACAGAAAAAAAACGTCACTTCAACTGATGACTCGAGCAGCGAAGATGATGACAACCCAGACTGTGCCAAATGTAAGAGGTCATACTCAAAATCAAAAGCCAATGAAGGGTGGGTGGAATGTCGTCAGTGTCACAAATGGTACCACGAGGCTTGCACTGGTGTCGGGGATGAGGATCTGGACACATTTATCTGCAATAAATGCATTTAGATCTGATACATTTTAATTTTTGTATACGGCGGTTGTGCCCCACCACATAAGCGGTTTTACCCCATGGGGTGGGGCAAAACCGCCAAAATGGTTACTTACATTGTTTATTTTGAAACTTTTGTTTTTGTTATAACAGATGAATTTTGTTTATTTTTTAGAAATATAGCTTAATAAACTACATGTTACTTATTTTGCCGATTCAAAAAACTCAAAGATTTTCTTTAAAGAAAATAATAAAGCTTAAGTATGCGGTTTTGCCCCACCTTCCTCTATAATGAGATGGTTCATTTCCATAATTATTTAATTATTTATTAAAAACGATATTAATGATTATAATTTATTAGTACCTTCTTAATAATGAATTCATACATTAATAGATACTTAAGGGATTCAACTTTTTAAATACCCCATTTAAAGACTGTTGTTGTCGATTAAGATTAAGATTCCAAATTGCTGTAAGCCCTAAAAATGTAATTAGTTGGAAAGAATGGGTAGAATTTGTGGCGGCTCAACGAAAAGCGCCACTAAATCAGCGCCCGCCGAAGTCCGGCAAGGGCGCAATACACGCGGCAATGTCGCGTCCGGGCAGCGCACCCTCGGCCAAACCGGCACGGCCGCGCTCCCCACTACCCAAACGGGGTTTAAAAGAGGGCGCGGACGGCCCAAGAAGCATTCGCGGTTCAGCTCTCTAGCGTACCAGAATCAACGCACTGCTCCCTAGCGTGCAATTACGCTCTGCTTTTCAGTGAGCACGCTCTGCTCTATAGCGAGCGCTCAAACCAAACACAGCGCCCCGCTCATCCATGCCGAAGACGCCCACGACGCCCCATACACGGAAGCGGCAGCGAAAGCACGAACGCAACGTGTTCGCACAGTTTTGGCGACGCACTCCACCTCCACGGATGGTATCTCCACTTCCACCGTCGCCGATGAAGTCTCTGCCAGTGACGCCGCAGTGGACGCTATACCTCATCGACGTACGAGGAGCCCTGTACGAGAATACGTGCCCGTGCGTCGCGACGCTCCGAGATCCTCGCCGATTCAGCTTACGGACCCGTTCCCGTCGGAACAAGGACGTGTCATGCACAAGATTGTAATTAATTGTAAATAGTTAGTTTTAGGAATGTTATTAAATAAAACCTCTCTCCACAACTAAAAAACACTAAAAATTAAAAGTACATAAATATCAACTGATTGTCAATACTGGTCAATTCATTCAAATTTCTCAAAGCGAACGTAATGGAAATCTTAACGCAACAAGGAAAGCAAAAATTTGCTCACTACGCGACGGTTACATGTATGTTTTTGATCGAACCGGTGCTTGTCACACAAAGAAGTTTTGGAGGTGTGATCAAATGACTGTGGATGGCAAAGGTCGCTGTAAAGGAAGGATTCATACCGAGGATAACGTGGTAGTGAAAAATGTAAATCTTCATTGTCATGGAAGTTCTGCAGGGGCTGTGGAAGCAGCTGCAATAAAAACTTCCATGACAAAAAGGTGTGCAGAAAGCCAAGCACTGCGCACGTTAATAATAATTGCGTGATTCGCATTTCACAAAGTGCCCAAGCTGCGTTACCTAACAACCCACCTTTGAAGAACATGATACGGCGAAATAGAAATGCTAACGATATTACACCACCATCTCCCATATCTGCAGAGGCTTTAATCATCCCAGACCGTTACAAATCATATATAGCTGCCAATAATGTTGAATAGCAGTTTCTTTTGTGTGACAGTGGCCCTCATCCAAACCGAATTCTGATTTTTGGCCGTTAAAATTTAAATGTAAGTACATAATGTGATCAACTGATCATATCTTTTATTACAACTCTTCCATATAATGTGCTAATGAGCGAAGCTTTGATCAAATTAATTTTTCTCATTGAAATATATTTGTTGCCAGAATGAAATGCTTTAGGAAGTACCGTGCAATATTAATAATATTATTAACTATTACCATGTTTTGTTACAGATTCTAAAGGAGTCTCGCCACTGGTTTGTAGATGGCACTTTTAAACCAACTTCATCTTTTTCATCAGATCTACGTTATTATGGCAGAAAGATTTTGGTGGGGTACATCCAATTATTTATGCCGCCTTGCCAAATAACCAAGAAGCGACTTATATGACAATGATTCGTAGTTTGCAGAAGTTGGAGCCAGATTTAAATCCTGAAAAGATTTCATGTGATTTTGAACTTGCCGCAGTTAAAATGCTTTCAAGAGCTGTTTTCCAAATGTACATACTGGGTTGTTTTTCCATTTAGTGAAGAATTTGAAGAAAAAAATGGCGCAGTTTCATTTGCTTGCTCGTTACAGTATGGACGGTGATTTTAGCGTTCAAGCAAGGATGGTTACTTCGTTGGCATTTGTTCCCATACCAGATCTAGATGATGCATTGGATCAATTAGCAAATGAAATACGCCAAGAACTACAACCAGTACAATTAGTTTCCGGTCGCCAACCGCAAATTAAATTAAAAAAGCATCGTGACGCAGATGAACGCATTAGAATGTTGGGGGATAGATACGATAGGGACAATAGGTACCTTTACACTTACGCTTTTTCGCGCGGTCTAAACGTGTGGCGTTCCAATCGCGCGCGAAAGAATGCGAATCTGGATGTAACTCCGGTCCTGCATGCCGAGCGCGAGCGCATTACTGCAGGAATTGCGTGCGGTTAAAAAACGTGCTCATTTTGGTTGCCGGTTTTCGCGCGTTTAGACCACGTTTTATTATAAAAATTGGTAAGTGTATCCGAATCAAAGATACTCGTGCATAAACGTTACACAGATATTTTTCTTCAGGTACTTCATTTTGAAAACATTGTAAGAGTCGGTGTTTCTCTGGTTCTGTACAAAATGGCGGACAGCCGATATTGGTCAAAAGAAATTGTTGCAAACTTTATAGAAATTTACAAAGGCCATCCATGTCTTTGGAAAGTGAAATCCAAAGATTACACTAACAAAAATTTAAAAAATCTTGCATATGACAAGCTAGTTGACTTTTGCAAAACGTTTAATACAGAAGCAAATAGAGATTATGTGATAAAAAAAATTCAGAGCTTCCGGGGCTCTTTCCGTAAAGAACTGAAAAAGCTTTTGCAATCGAAAAGGAGCGGAGCAGGAGTGCCGGATGTGTATGAACCAACGCTCTGGTACTATGATCTACTACTTTTTACTTGCGATCAAGAGATACCAAACGCAAGTGTGCAGAGTAATATGTCTCATGACGAAACAGTAGTCGATAATAATAGCCAGGATGATGAGGAAGAAGAAAATCAAGACACACAACTTTCAGAACACACTGAATGGGAAACAGATGAACTTGTGGAGGAAAGAAGAGAAAATAAATCTAATAAGGACCTTTTATTGACTGAGGTAAGCTATATAGTACATAATTAATATTATGATTTTCCTTTCTTTAACATGGCATCCTGCCAGGGCACTTGTCCTTCTTTATTGAAATATTCCATGTATTTTTCGCGATTAGTTTTTGCTGCTACCGATACATTTTTTTGCAGGCTCGTTTCTAAATTTTCGAGTTGGGTAGTGACGTTGCGCCATTCTCCCTGTTGTAATTCATGGGTTAGCACATCCTCTTGATCAAACGATCTCAGAGTGGCATACAACGTTTTTCGTTTAATTAGGAAATTGTGAAGAGCACAAATAGCTAAAACAACATACGTAATGTTTTGTGGATTGGTCATATGTATGGCTGTATGCAAAATTCTAAATCTTGCAGACAGTAAGCCAAAAGCATTTTCTGAGACATTTCGCGCGCGTGATAAACGATAATTATAAATTCGCTTTTCATACGTTAAATCCCTTTGAGGAAACGGCTTTAAAAAATTCTCATGCAACGAAAATGCCTCGTCACCCAGAAAAACAAAATTAAGATTTTTATCTGTTTCGCTGTTGTCTGGCAAATGTAAGTGACCTGAAATACAACATAATAAAATTAGCTACTTATTATTGTATCAAATCAAGTTACCATTCATCAAACCATCATAAAAATCGGTATACTCTAAAATACCCCCATCTGAATGTCGGCCATTTTTTCCAACGTCAACAAATATAAATTCGTGATTTGCGTTTACAAGGGCTAGTAACACAATACTATAAAAGTTTTTGTAGTTATAATATTGAGCGCCAGAATGAGGAGGAGGAACAATCCGTATGTGCTTTCCATCTAGAGCTCCTCCACAATTAATAAATTGCCACTTATTTTTAAAACTGGTGGCTATTTTACACCAATCTTCTTTTGTTGATGGAAACTAAAACAAAATATTACTTAGTCTTATTAATTCATCGCTCAAAGTGAATAAGTTCTCATATCATAAATTTTCAGAATGATAATGCTTCAAATTCAACTCCAAAATCCGCATATTCATCAGGGATGAAATCTCTTAGTACCACACCAAGGCAGAAAAAGAAAACCACTATTAAGAAGAGAAATGAAGAATTTATGGAATTTTGTAAGCAGCAACTTCAAGCACACAATGATATCGATGAATATGATGCAGTTGGAATTTCATGGGCCAAAAAATTAAAAAGAATGAACCCCGAACAAGCTGTTTATGCTGAAAGCTTAATCAATAGCATTGTTTCTCGTGGTTTATTAAATAAGCTGTCAGATGCGGTTACATTGTCCGACGCAAATGAGCAAAGACCTGCATCATCTTCATCATCTTATACCTTAAACTCATCAGATAGCAGGCAGTGTTGGCAAGTTACATTGCCATGCGAAGATGCACCACAACCTCCTGTTGTTGTACCCTCAAGCAGTTTAGTAGAGTATTACACATCTATTGCTAATATTAATACGAATGAATAGTGTAAATAATAAAATAATAAACTTACCTTCATGTATTCTTTCTTCAGAACCTGGTAAAGAGCTTTACAAGTTTCAGGAATAATTTGACATAAGGCAGACGATGAAATTCCAGTGGAAAACTTAAGATCTTCGAAAGAGCGCCCCGTTGCTAAATATCGTAAAGTCGCCATAAGTCTTTCTTCGGCACTTATGCTCTCTCTTAACTTCGTATTTTGTTTCGAAATTATTGGCGAAATCAAATTCAATAAAATTTTGAATGTATCAGGATCCATACGAAGGTAGTTTTTAAAATCGTCTGGGAAATTTAGCCGAAGTTCGTTTAAAAGTGGCATGTGACCAAATTTGTTCCGATCCTCCCTCCACTTTTTAACCCAAACTCTTTTTTTCTTTTCTTCTTCCGTTAGGTTCATCTGCACAGCCACACAAAGTGCAGCAATACATTTTTTCCGCCTTATTTTATACATTTTTTGATAAAACTTTCTTAAAACTTTTAGAAATTCTAAAATGCCACGAGCCAAGCAAAGAACGTGCGAAAGCAGGCGAAAACGGCTTTACACTGACACTCTTTTCCTCTTACGTTCCGGGCGCGTAGACAATACTCCACGATTGGAACGTTACAAATTTCTTGTTTCTAACAACACACTTTTGGAACGCCACGTTCTTGGCGCGTGTCGTTCGCGCGCGATTGGAACGCCACGCGTTTATACCGCACGAAAGAGCGTAAGTGTAAAGGCACCTAATATTATAGAATATTTAAGGGGTGTTGTAATTATTTGATGAATCCATAATTTATTTCTTGCTTAAATTGTAATTATTTCTTGTTTAAATTGTAATTAAACTAACTGCTTTAATTTGAATTTATTTTATGTGTTTTTCAGTCTAGTAATTATGTTCATCATAAATGTGGGTTTATTTTGTATCATGCTAGAAACTTGAGACTGTAATAGTAGGGATATTACAGGAATTTGCTGGTAGACGATATTTTGTTTTAGCGTTCCAGAAATTACCACCGCCATTTGCTGAACCTGACTGTCGAATACCTGGAATTATCATCTCCGATCAATACCACTTCCCAGGCTACCGAAACCGACCCGTCCGTCCGTAATTACCGCCGACATCGTTGCAATATACTTAATCTTTAATTAAATTACACTCGAACAATAACACACATTATGCAAAAAATATGGACACTATCTTACAAAAGAAATGAGTGTTCCGTACTGCAAATACTCGATATATCGCGATAGGCAATAATTAAAGATTATTAAAGATTCTCTTTTTTAGAAAATAAACACAGTAACTACATCATACATAATAGCCTTAATAAAAAAAAAGCGTTTCTCCATTGTAAAGGAGACAATAAGAACTATTTCTTTAGTAGAGCATAGAATATTCTATAGGATGCAGTATTAAATGGCGATATATATATATATACCCACTCTCCCCTATAACCTTATTGAAATATTTTATCATTTTGAAATAGTATATTAAGATACAAGAGTATAATCAAGCCGGATGAAATGGAGATAGTCCAGGTCAACTTAAAGAGGAGGGAAAGGAATAGCAGTCCATATTTGACGGATATGGTGCGATCGTCAAAAATAAAAAAAGGGTTAAATTATTTACTGAAGGAGATAAAAGTTGACTGGGCCAAATTGCATCGCCGGACGCCGCGCCGACGAGAACGGCTCCGTTCCTTTTTTGGTGGATGTTAGCGACGAACAACGTTTAAATTGCAACGTGGACGTAGCCGAGAACGAACGGAACGAGGAAAATGAGGAGGAAGAAACGGACGTTCATATGATGCTATATGACAACAACGGCGCATCTATGGTGGAATTATCTTTCCCAACCATTTACCACGGACGTCCTCGGCCATCACCGATCAATTGTAATATAATTGAGAAAAATGTCCTTTTCGTCTATTGCAAAATTTGAGCTATTATATTACAAGAGATATTGTTGCCGACCGGACCAGCTCTTCTTCGACTTCAAATTGAAGCAGACGCTGGAGATGTTTGACAGTATAAGTTTATGTATTAGACAGAAGCGTAACGCCGCCACTACCGGGAATAGATCGATTAGCGTAGGGGACCTATTGGACGCAACGACCGTTGGAGAGATGGTGAAGATCGACAATGCGTTTTCCTTCATGAAAAATATGAAGAGTTCGCCGGCATTATGGCAAGAGGAGCGGCAGAAGTTGTTCGCGATGATTCGCCAACTCGGTGTTCCGACCTTTTTTATTACGCTGTCGGCGGACGAAAAGTAGATCGAACTTATTTCTATTCTCTACTCTACGGCAAACACTACAGTCATGGAGACGTATTAAACATGAGTTCCGCGGATAAGAGCAAACTGGTACGCGAAGATCCTGTTACCGTGTGAGATATTTCGATTAGAGAATTCGATTAATGTTCTCGCTGATGCGGCAGAGAGGTGCAGCAAATCAGATCTTTAACTATTATCGCATCGAGTTTCAGCACAGGGGTGCCCCTCATTTACACTCTGTCGTATATCTGAATACCGCGAAACGAACAAATATCTGACCGAAATTTAATAAAGTACCAAGTGCACACGCACTCTTATCTTAGAGGAGAAAATTTTTATAATTCTTACAATCAGTTTATATCATTAATTATTTGCGTTTGTACTATTTTCATAATAAAAATGGAGTTATTTAGAAATTGACTCATCTTTAAATATTTTTCCTTTAAATTATCATAAATGGGTGGGCATACTTTGGCAACTATTCTTCCAATAGTACATGGTGGAATGCGAAAAAGGTATTGCAAACTGCTATAGGCATCTCCTACAACAAAAATCTAAAAGCAGTTCAAACTGCACAGCAGACATTCAAATAAAATTTTTGAACTGCTGTGCATCCTCCAACCGCAACTCATTTACGAGAGCTGAACCGGCTCCCAATGCAATTCGACGATCCACCCATTTTCTTACCCAACACTTCTTTTTTTTGCAATCATGAATGTAATGAAGAAAAAAGAGTTCCCCAATTCAACACCAAATGCCGAAAATGATCTAAAAACGTTAATAACTCTTATAGAATCGCATTGGAAGTTTGACATATCATCGCAAGCAACTGCTGACCTTAGTATGAATAAATGGAACAAGGTCACTTTGCTTCCGCTAGCAAGTGATTTAAAATTATTACGTGACTTTTTAATTTTAAAAGGAAACGACGCCCAAAGAAAATTAGAGAGTGATGATCCAGATGAAAGCTCATACACAACGTTATTACATACAATTTACTGCCGGGTAATATTATTAAATAGACGAAGACCGGGAGAACTCCAAAGGCTATTACTACGGACCTATACCTTGGAAAATTCATTACAAAATTATGAAGAATCTAATGACAGGCCCTGAAAGGATCTTAGAAAAAACTCTTAAGTGTAATGTTATTAGGGGAAAAAGGGGTAGGGGCGTTCCTGTTTTGTTTAGTCTTGACATACAAAACCACCTAGATACTTTATTGAAGTTTAGGGACCGGTATGTGCCAAAAAGTAATTTTTCCTTTTTGGAAATCCAGGAACCTTAGAACCAATTTCCGGTTATAAAGTTATACAACGGTACGCGAAGGAATGTGGCGCTAAGAACCCTAGCGCAATAACGTGCACCAAGTTAAGAAAACATCTGGCAACACTCACTCAACTCTTCGATATGACCGATAATATTGAACAACTAGCGACGTTCATGGGACATACGGTGTCTGTCCATAAACAAAATTATCGATTACGCGATGATGTCTACCAGACTGCTAAGATATCTAAACTACTAAGAAAATATTATAACTTTAGAAAATTTTTGTTTATTTTCATAACACTGTGTATATAGGTAGTTTAAACAGCGCGCCATTTTTATTTTTTAAGATCAAGTAGGAGGAAGGAGGGAGACAGCTAAGGGGGTCAACGAAGGAGACGCATAAAAAAGTATCGAAAGTTTTTTTCCCTAAATTAAGTGGTAATTTAGGCGAAATATTTGCTTAGATTACGAAATCATTAGTCATTAGAGTGTGTAAAGTGATGTGTGCAATAAAAGTAATCTGTGCGAAGGAAGTATTCACGTGGAATCGACGTAGTAGAAATCCACCACGTGCCTGAGACGTCTTCTTAGTTACCAGGGAAATCCACCACGTGCCTGAGACACTTTTGTAGTTACCAGCTTAGAGTATGAGAGAAATCCTTCTCTAGGGTTACCAGGGATCATCACCAGAAGAAGCCATTTTGTATATTGTGAAAATTCCTGACGTGCAAGGTGGTCATTCATGCAGTTCGCCGAAACACATATCTATATTGCTGGAAGAATCAATCTTGGGATTCCGTTAACCAACCTTTGTGGAACATCACCTGTGTTTATTACGACAAGGTATTTATACGAATTCTTAAATACGATCTATACAGAAAATATTGGACACGTTAAATTACATCACGATTATTTGTGGTTGTTGACAATTTGACTTTGTAGTAGTATAAGATCTTACTTCGAGAACACTCGTTTTCGATATATATTTTGCCTGCGTATCGTGTAAAGCAGTGGTATTCAACCGGTGGTACTGAGGGTGTGAAATGAACACGATCTGCATGAATCGCTACCAAGGAATTTATTCTTGAACCTATATCTACAATCTACAATTCTACACTATATGAACAAATTATTCTTTGCGCAAATTTTAAGTGATTTAGCTTTAGCCAGGGGTCGTCAATCTATTGAAACAGAAGAGCCAAAAATTACAACTTATAAAATTTCCCAGTTTTGAAAGAGCCACAAAAAAATTTTGATGTAATATTATAGTATTTGGCTATATACAGGGTCCTGCAACAATGCGTCGGTTTTTCCTACATAGCTGATACCTGGTAAAAAATATTGGTGGTTGCGAATCTACAGAAATTATTTTTGCATCTACAGGGTGTCCCATTTTTACGATGTCAATAAATAACTGATCTTTTTAAATAGAACATCCTGCATATTTTTACTTGTTTCAATCCCATTTGTTCAAACTGCTATAACTATTCTTTTTCAAATGGAACTACTACTGTTTTATTTCGCTATTCGATTGTCTTTTGCGTTCTCTTCAATGTTTATAAGGGGTG